AACCAGGCTCGCCTTGAACTCACAGAGATCCGCCTGCCTATTAAAGGCAGTGATGCCACTACTGCCCGGCTAACACCACTGGAATTTTTTATTTGGGGGTGACCTGTTTATGTCACTTCAGAAGAAATTGTGCAATGTGATTTCTGCCAGCATCATCTTAAAAAATAATCCTCTCAGCCAGGCAGTGGTGACATGCCTTTAATCCCAGCACTCAGGGAGGCAGAGGCAGGGGGAGCTCTGTGAGTTCAAGGCCAGCTTGATCTACAGTGTGAGTTTCGGAACAGCCAGAGATACACAGAGTAACCCTGTCTTGAAAAATCTAATAATAATAATAATAACAGTAATAGTAATAATTCCCTCCCTGACACTACATTCCCAACTTCTTTTAATTTTTAAATATATTTTTGGTCCTTTCATTTTATATGTCTTCTACCCGGAATTTAGTCAGCACAGAATGTAAAACCGCCTCTCCCATATTCAGTAGTTTTTCCTAACAGAATTAATTGAACAATTGCCCCCTTTTGGCCTGAGTTACAAATCTGTTTATTGTTGTGGGCTCAGTTTTTATTTCACTTTTCAATCATTCATGCATTCGTTTGTTTATTGTGTGTGTAGGTATGCATGTGCCACAGTTCAAGCATGCAAGTCAGAGGGCAGCTTGTGGGAGTCAGTTCTCTCCCTCCTCCATGTGGGTCCCAGGATCCCAGTTCAGGCGGGCAGGCTTGGTGGCAAGTGCTTTACCCAGTGAATCATCCTGCTAGCCCTGGGCTGAGTCATCTTTATGAGTGCTTCAAGTCTCATTCATTGTCTTTGTCCCCATTAACCTTTCCTATCAGTCTAACCCCAAATAGGCACACATTTTAGTTGCAAATTACCCAGGTTTTTTTTTTATTCCAATACAGAAATAAGATTTTAAAAAGTTTGAGACAACATCTAATGTATCCTACCATGACCTTAAACCCTCTCTGAAGCTCACAATGGCTTTGATTTTCCTCCCTCCACCCTTCAAGTGCTAGATTTTCTGGTGTGTGCCAACACACCATTCAAGACTAAGATTATACTTAAGAAATTACAAAGTGATAATTAGAGGGCTGGAGAGATGATTCAGTAATAGGAACATTTGCTGCTCTTCCAGATTACCTGAGTTTGGATCCCAGCAGAACTCAGATCCTAAATTCAGACCAGCTCGTTACAGCTGCCTCTGACCCCAGCTCTAGGAGAGACAAGACGCTCTTCTGACCTAGAAGAAAGTGCACCTGCACATAAAACACAAATAAAAACTTTAAAAAAATCTCAGAACAAATGTGGTACTCCATGTGGTGGGATTAAAGACCTTCGACCCCGGCACTGGAAGGCAGAGGTAGGTGGATCTCTGTGTGTTTGAGGAGGCCGACCTGGCCTACATGGTGATAAAAAGCAAAGGTTAGCAGTGGGCGGGTAGCATCACTGCACTCTTAACATCCGGAACATCTCATGATGCACAGAAGCAGAAGTTGGTCTTCTTTCACTTACCCCTTGTCCTCCCTCTTGCCCTTTCCCCTTCTAATGACGAATGATTGATGTTCACAGACATCTTGTGGGTTCTAAAGCACAAGAGAAAAGGCACGAAGAAGGATGAATTTCTCCCCAGACGGTCAAATAAAATGAGAACTTGAAGCAGCTCATTTCTCTAAGCTGATGGTCTCACATCCTCTATTAAAAGAAACTCAAAGTCATCCTGAGATTAATACATCAGAGCACAGACTGCTTTTTTTTTTTCTTACGTCTTTTGCTTCCGTTCAGGTTATCTGGAATCTTAGTTGCTACTGCTACTTTACCTAAGAGAAGTCAGAAGGCAGACAGCACTGCCCATGACCACAAGGGGTCTGGTATAGGAAGCTGGGCAGTCATGCCAGCATCATTCCCTGAGGAAACAGACAGGTCCAGAAAGGCAAAAGTGGCTAGAGTGCCAAGGCTGAGCAGCCATGACATGCTCGTTCTGAAACACTCGCTGGGGGGATTTAAATGCCTTCCCCCATATACAAGGCACCAATGGCAAGTCAAAGAATGACTCCATCACAGTCCAGCGTGGGGAACCAATAAGAATATTGGGCTTGCTTACAGATGTAGGTGGACTTTTCTGTCCCGCCAGTCCCAAATAACCACACAGAGACTTAATATTAGTTATAACTGCTCAGGTGACAGTTTAGGCTTGTTTTTAGCTAGCCCTTATAACTGAAATTAACCCGTTTCTCTTACTCTATATGCTGCCTCAAGGCTTGATTACCTCATCCATGTACTTCCCATGCTGCTCAGTCTGTATCTCATGGCGTCTCTTCTAACTCTGCCCTTTCTCTCCTCAGCATTCTTTCCGCCCCCCAAATCCTGCCTAGCCATTGGCCAATCAGCTTATTAACAATGAAACACGTCTTTACAGTGTACAGAAGAATTATTCCACAGCATACAGAATATATGCGAGGGGTTCTCAACAGGAGTGTGGGTGGACCAAAGCAGCCACACTGGAAAGTCTTATCTCAATACGGACAACTTTTCATTGCTGGGGTTTCTACTGTCTGGACACTCTAGCAGCGGCTGACACCATACAGTCACATGCAGCTGGGTCAGAATTTCACACAGCTAGCTGGGAGGTGCTGTGGGAAGCAACTAGCATCTCAGGGGGAGAGTCCAGTGACTCGCCCTACCCAGTCCAAAAATGAGGAAATGCCAACAGTCAAACCCTCCAATGTGCTCCCCCAATCCTGCTCTTTCAAATTCGTGCTTTTTATTTTTATGTCTGTTGGTGCTTTGCCAGCATGTATTTCTGTGTGAGGTGTCAGAAGCCCTGAAATTGGAGTTGCAGACAGGTGTGATAGACCATGTGGGTGATAGAAATTGAGCCGGATAACTCTGAAAGAGCAGTCAGTGCTCCTAATTACTGAGCCATCTCTCCAGTCCCATCAAATTCATGGCCTCTTTGTTGTATGTTTTTTGTTATCAATTTTTTTTTAAAAAAATTCCCTTTTAATTATGACTACTGTGTCAAAGGCTGACCTTTCCAGCATGGCAGCTGCATTCCTAACAGTGTAGCTCGGGGACTCAAAGCATGTGGAGCAAAGGCTGCCAGAATGTCTAAAGTCTTAGACTCAGACCTGGCCCAGGACTCGTTACATTCTTAGTCAAAGCAGGTTGCAAGTCCAGGCCTGTGGCGATGGTACCCGGGAAGACTACACCCAGGCTACCATGGCCTGACTCTTGGTTCAGAAGAATGAGCTCAGATTGCCTGAGCCTCTGTGCAGCAAGACAACCAGGTTTACATGTGAAACTTTTGCATCTTAAAAAGTATTTTTAAGGGCTGGAGAGATGGCTCAGCGGTTAAGAGCATTGCCTGCTCTTCCAAAAGGTCCTGAGTTCAATTCCCAGCAACCACATGGTGGCTCACAACCATCTGTAATGAGGTCTGGTGCCCTCTTCTGGCCTTCAGGCACACACAAAATATTGTATACATAATAAATAAATAAATATTTTAAAAAAGTACTTTTAATTATGTATATATGTCTGAGTGTGGGTTTGTACACCTGAGTGCAGTGCCCTCGGATCCGGAACAGAGCATTAGATATCCTGGAACTGGAGTTCCAAGTGGTGGATGAGTCACCCGATATGGGTGCTGGGAGCCTAATTCAGGTCTTCTGCAAGAGCAGTATGCACTCCTAACTTCATCTTTCCAACATTAGCCTCTTTGTTTTTGATCAATAGTTCACTTCCAGCTGATAACAGTTCTACCATGATATGGCCAACAGATCATACAGCTTACCTATGCAGAATGAAAAACTTAGTAGTTTTTATTTTATCCATACAGTCATACAATCAATTTTTCTTTAATATTTTTTTTTTTTTTGTTTTTTGAGACAGGGTTTCTCTGTGGCTTTGGAGCCTGTCTTGGAACTAGCTCTTGTAGACCAGGCTGGTCTTGAACTCACATAGATCCACTTACTTTTTTAAGACTCTGCCTGCCCCGCAATCTTATACCCTAGCAGTCGCTCTCTAGTTGTACAGTCCCCCTAACATTCATTGTCTGGGAACCCTTGACTAACCTGTACTGATATTTGCCTATTTCAGACATTTCAGAGAAACAGGATCTTGCTAAGGGCTGCAGAGATGGCTCACCTGTTAAGATCTGTTGCTACTCTTCCAGAGGACCTAAACTGTTTCCAGCACCCACATCAAATAGCTCACGATTACCTGTAATTCCAGTTCCAAGGAGCCTCTGATGGGACAGCACACACACACACACACACACACACACACACACACGATTTAAAGATAACCAAATATTTTTCGAGGAAATATGAAATTTGTTCTAGTTTTTCTGTTGTTGTGACCAACCAAAAACAAGCTAAAAGTGTTTATGTTAGCTTACAGGTTATAATCCATCAAGGGAAGTCAGGGTAGTAATTCAAGACAGGAAGATGGAGGCAGGAACTGAAGCAGAAGCCATGGGGGACCGCTGCTTACTTGCTCAGCTACTTTCATTACACAACTCAGAAGCACCTGCCCAGGGGTAGCATCACCCACTATGGGCTGGGCCCTTCCACATCAATCACCAATCAAAAAAATGCCCCACAGACTCGCCCACAGGCCAATCTGATGAAGGCAATTCCTCAACCGAGGTTTCCTCTACCCATCTGTCAAGCTGACAACTGAAGCTAATGAAGACACTGGCTCACTCCTTACCACCATCACCCCCAACACTGTGACCATACTAGAACATCCTGTGTTGGCTTTGTCTCCGTTCTCAAAGTTTCTAATTCAGGGACCTCAGAGCACTGCCCATGATTCCTCATCCACGCGCTTTGAGGCCCCCCAATCTACTCTTCCTTAGTTCTTCATTTCCCTGAGGAAGTTGGCTTAATCCCTTTAGATGAGTTTAGTACCATCCAAACTACACATTTACAATAAGCAGTGACACACCAGCTCAGTCAGTCCAAATGGACTGTCATCCCACTACAGTCTTTGCCCACAAGTCACATTCAGCAGTTGTTTTATTTATTTATTTTTTTAATTTCCTGTGTGTTTATGTGTGGACAAACGTGCTGGAGAGTCTACTTCTCTCTCCATCGTGCATCCTTGTTTCCTCTTTGAGACAGGGTCTCACTATGCAGCCTCAGTGGAACTCACTATGCAAAACCACCTACCTCTGTCTCCCAAGACCTGGGATTAAAGGTGTGCACCACCAAAGACCTATTCCTTTAGTTTTAAAAGAAAAACTATGTATTTGTTTTATATATATGAGCAGCCTATTAACTTTATGTCAGATCCTATTACAGATGGTTGTGAGCCACCTGTGGTTGTTAAGAATTGAACTCAAGGTCTCTGGAAGAGCAGACAGTGCTCTTAACTGCTGAGCCCCCAAAGACTTAATTTAATTTTATGTGCGGATGTTTTATCTTCATTTAGGTCTGTGCACCATTTGTTGTGCAATGCCCATGGAGAAACATTGCAGTGTAAGAGGGGAAGGGGGAAGCAGGCTCCGGGGAAAGGGTGAAGATACCAGTGAATCAGATGGCAAGGTCAAGGCAGAGTGGTCAGCGTCCAAGTCCCCAGATAAACACGGGTCTGGAGGTGCCTCAACCCCAGCCAACAAAACCTGTGCCGTGGGGCACTGGCTACAGAGAGAAGTGCAGGAGCGCAGAACCCCAAATCCCTGGATGTAAGGGAGCTCAGACCACTTGTTTATATGGGCAGAAACTCTCAAGATCATGGAGGATGTTGAAGAGTTCCCTCTGGTGGCCATCTTGACTGGTTATCAAGGGCATATTGAGGCCAGTTCACAGAGCAAAAGGAAATAAGGTGTTCTGGACGTATGGTGTTAAATAGCCCAATTTGGATAAATTTTGCAGTAGATACCCAGGGGTGACTGAGGATCGGGTCTAGACGAGAAATTGCCCATTTCCAAGCCTGTGCTGGAGACTGAAGTCTAGAGCAATGCATCTATCGTAGATGGTCTTTGCTCCGAAGCGGATTGGTGTTGCCTGGAGCGGTATGAAAGTCGGTCCTGTCAAAAAGAGAGGGAGATACAATGAAAAGTGGCTTCCTACATGGTCGGGGAACTGGGTCTGTCCGGCAGGGAAGGTTCAACTCCTCCCAGGCTTCTAGCACTAAGATGATAGGTTTCTCCGCCTCCGAGGTAGTAAGCCAGATCAAGCCGAATTAAAAAGTAAAGGACCAGGTTTACTTGGGCAAAGCACTCCAGGGTGACCCTCCAGTCCCCAGAAATGAGGTGTGGGGTGAGGGAAAGGAAAAAAAAAAATCACACACGGCCTGTCTAAAGGAGGTGGCTTAAATACCTTGTAGACGCGGTGGGGTGGTGGTTGATGATGCCCAACAATGGTAGCTTTTAGGCGGGGTCTTGAGCAGCTATCAGGTGGGCAGCCGCCACTGACACCACCATGGAGCTGGACTTTTTTTTTTTTTTTGCAGGTTTTTCTTAGAGGGCAGGGTTTGGAGAAGGAATTGGCCGGATCAATCAGAAGTGAGGGAGAGATTCCAGCCGACCAGACAGAGAAGAGCTAGCGGATAGGGAGAGAACGCCGAGACTGTCAGGGGAATAAGGCTTAGACTTGACCCCGGGTACCAGAGAAGATGGAAGGAGAGAAGAGTTAAACACAGGTGACCTGGATTAGGACATCAGCCTGGTTCCGAAACCTCGGAGCATAGGGTTCGAATTTCCCCGAGGATCTCCTCCAGCAATGGGAACCACAATACCTCCAGACATTTCAACAACAAACAGACACCACGCTTTGTCCCATTTCCGGGGCCGGACCGGAAATTCTCCTCCTGCCCAATAGCGAGGCGACGGGGAGCTCATTCTCGCGAGAGCTCGGTAACCTGGTACTCAGGGAGTTAGCCATGGAGGGTGAGCGGGCGCCGCTGCTTGGTTCGCGGCGGGTAGTGGCGGCGGCCGGGGCGTTTGCGG